CTGCACGCCACGGGGTCCCTGACCAAGCGTCGCTCCTGGACGTTCAGGGAGTGAGAGTGTGTTGGCACGGAAGGACCAAGAGCCCTGTCCTTTTGTTTTAAACAGGGCAGATGTGTGTAAATCCTTTAAAAGGGTTAACCCACACAAGGCTCCTGGACCTGATGGCATCCCTGGCCGTGTTCTCAGGGTGTGTGCAGTTCAGCTGGCAGAGGTGTTCACAGACATCTTCAACAGGTCCCTGCTGCAGTCTGTAGTCCACACATGCTTCAAACACTCCACCATCGTTCCTGTCCCCAAAAAGACAAATATCACCAGCCTCAACGACTACCGCCCAGTAGCACTCACCTCCATCATTATGAAGTGCTTTGAGCGGTTAGTCAAAACCTTCATCACCTCCTCCCTCCCTGACTCTCTGGACTCCCTGCAGTTTGCCTACAGAGCAAACAGGTCCACAGACGACGCCATAGCCCTCCCCCTCCACACTGCCCTCTCACACCTGGACCAGAGGAACACATATGTGAGAATGCTCTTCATTGATTACAGTTCAGCATTCAATACCATTGTGCCCTCCAAGCTGGCCATCAAGCTCAGAGAACTCGGGCTCAACAGCGCCCTCTGTGTCTGGATCCTGAACTTCCTGACGGGCAGACCCCAGGCAGCGCGGGTGGGAAACATCACATCCTCCACCCTGATCCTCAACACCGGAGCCCCTCAAGGCTGCATGCTCAGCCCTCTCCTCTACTCCCTGTTCACTCACGACTGCGTGGCCNGGACCTGACATGGACTCATCACTGAGGACCTGACATGGACTCATCACTGAGGACCAGACATGGACTCATCACTGAGGACCTGACATGGACTCATCACTGAGGACCTGACATGGACTCATCACTGAGGACCTGACATGGACTCATCACTGAGGACCTGACATGGACTCTTCACTGAGGACCTGACATGGACTCTTCACTGAGGACCTGACATGGACTCATCACTGAAGACCTGACATGGACTCTTCACTGAGGACCTGACATGGACTCATCACTGAGGACCTGACATGGACTCATCACTGAGGACCTGACATGGACTCATCACTGAGGACCTGACATGGACTCATCTCTGAGGACCTGACATGGACTCATCACTGAGGACCTGACATGGACTCATCACTGAGGACATGAC